ACGCCAGGTGCGTGTGCGTGCGTGCATGCCCAAGATCCCGAGAGGAGAATGGAGGAGAAGGGATTGAGGCGTGACTATCCCCCCTGGGGGGTGATTTCTCGTTTTCTGTCTCTGTCTCTGTCTGTCTGGCGAGCGCATGCGCCCTATAGCGAAAACCTCTCAAAAAAAAAAAATAAATAAAGATAGGAATGCCTTCCACCGAATCTAGTTAAATATTTTCTCCGTGTGAAAAGGAGAAAACGCCGTGCCAAGAACACATGTGCTGTGCTGACAACTCGCTGGCTATAGATCTGTCCAATAGCAACCAGTGAGCACCAGCTCTTCAAAGTGAGAATGTTGTTCACACCATGCTATTTAACAAACTACCCTATGGATCTAGTCCCAACTCTTGTAAAAACCACATCAGGGACCAGCAGTTGGCGTAATGGCTATGTCGCTGGACCCCCATGTAGCAGACCGTGGTTCGCGTCCCAGACCCAGTGACTTAAACTCACGCTAGGTGCATGTGCGTGCATGCCCTAGATCCTGAGAGGAGAATGGAGGAGAAGGGATTATGGTGTGGCCTTCCCCCGGGGGGTAATTTCTCGCATTCTACCTCTCTGTCTCTCTTTTTGGTGAGTGCACATGACCTGTAGCAAAAACCTCTCATAAAAGGAAAAGAATAAAAACTATCATAAGCAGTAGAACAGCAATCAGCAGCTCCCAGCAGTGGTCTCTAAGACAGTAATAAGGATTCTTCTAGAAGGTTTCTGATCATCAACTCTCTTTGCCAGCTATGCCTCCTCTTAGAGAGTCTCCATATAGATCTGCTCTAAGAAATTTCTTGCACGTTTTTAATTCTTGGTTTCCTTACTCACAATAGAACACTTGCATGCATACACACAGACACGGTCACACCGGACTGGCACTCTTCTAGACCCTGAGTTACTCAGGGAACAACCCTGCCCTCAAGAACCTCATTGCCAAAATCAGAGAGAGAGAGAGAGAGAGAGAGAGATCCCCCAAAGGGCCTGGCTCTGTCACCATCCCCCTTCTCCAGTCCTCAGTGTGTCAGACACTGGGCACTTGTGGTCCTGCTGGGAGTTCAGGCTGACCCGGTGGGATTGCAAACTTGGGGGAGTACACTACCCCTGTGACCCAGAGCCAGCTCATACCCTGTGAACAAAAGAAAAAGTACAGAGCCTGCAGGTGGCATGGTGGTTAAGGCGCTGGACTCCCACACGGTCTACTACGGTTCAAGTCCCAGACCTGGTGGCTTGCTTTCTCACTTTACCCCCTTTCTCCCTTTCTCTCTCTGATGGGCATATCTGCCTATAACAAACTGAGAAATAATAGTAATACTAAGAAATAAAATTACATGATATTTTTACAAAGAGAAAAAATACTCCATCTTGTGTAACACAGTACTCCTCACACTTACTCAAGAGTACTGTTTTCAGCAAAATGCTGTAGTAAAAATCTAACTATAAATTAGAGTCAACCACTTTAGAAAATTTTCAGCACAGTGAAAATAGGGACCATCCACTCAGGATCAAGGTTGTACAAATGCACCATTGTATTCTGGAAGCTTCCTGGACACTGGGAGTTGGCAAAGCACGCTAACCGCAGGAGAGCCCGGAGAGAGCGTTAGAGAAGGCTGAAACACAGAGGTGTGTACCCCCAGAGAGAGCGTTAGAGAAGGCTGACACACAGAGGTGTGTATACCCAGAGAGAGCGTTAGAGAAGGCTGACACACAGAGGCGTGTACCCCCAGAAAGAGAGTTAGAGAAGGCTGACACACAGAGGCGTGTACCCCCAGAGAGAGCATTAGAGAAGGCTGACACACAGAGGCGTGTACCCCCAGAGAAAGTGTTAGAGAAGGCTGAACCCCAGGGTGGGTACACCCAAGAGAGAGCATTAGAGAAGGCTGACACACAGAGGCGTGTACCCCCAGAAAGAGAGTTAGAGAAGGCTGACACACAGAGGCGTGTACCCCCAGAAAGAGAGTTAGAGAAGGCTGACACACAGAGGCGTGTACCCCCAGAAAGAGTGTTAGAGAAGGCTGACACACAGAGGCGTGTACCCCCAGAGAGAGCGTTAGAGAAGGCTGACACACAGAGGCGTGTACCCCCAGAGAGAGCGTTAGGAAGGCTGAAACACAGAGGTGTGTACACCCAGAGAGAGCATTAGAGAAGGCTGAAACAGAGGCGTGTACACTGGGCTTGGAAGATCATGTCCTGATGCTTCCTTGAAGCTCGGCATGAGCGTAGGTATGATGAGGGAAATCTAGGGTGCCATCCCAGGGGTTCGGGTTCAGGCCTTATCTCATCACACACTGCCCGGTGACCTCAGACAGCTCACTTAACCCTTGGGATTCCCTTGTCCTCTTTATGTAATGGTAAAGATAGCACTTACCCACCCAGAGGAAATGAGAGAAAACCAGGACGAGGGACACAAGTAATGTAATGCTGCTCTCCCTTCCTTCTTTCGTAAATGCCACACACCGCCAGGCAGGTTACCAGGCTCACAAAGAGTTTTAAAGGCCCACGTTATCTGTTGCCACACAGCATTCTTCAATATCTCACACAGGGGACCAGCAGATAGTGCAATGGTTATGTTGCTGGACTCCCACACAGTCGACCACGGTTTGAGTGCCAGAACCAGCAGCTTAAAATTCATGCCGAGTGCATGTGCATGCGTGCCCAAAATCCTGAGAGGAGAATGGAGGAGAAGGGGTTGCAGTGTGGCCCATCCCCTTGGGGGGTGATTTCTCACTTTCTGTCTCTCTGTCTCCATCTTTCCCATGAATGCATACAGCCTATAGCAAAAAATCTCTCTAAAAATTTATTTATTTAAAAAAAAATCTGTCTAACTCTCTCAATTCTGCCATCCTGAGATCCCTGCTCAGCACAGTGTTAATCTGTCATAGCTGAAGGTATTCACAGCCACTCCTACGAGTGGCTGTCAGCTAACAGACTGGCCACCCCCCTCCAGGAATCTCACATGTCTGCAGAGGACACCGAACTGGCACTGCTGCTAGGCCCTGAGTTACTCAGGGGACAGCCCAGCCACGAGGACCTCGTTGGCAAAGCCAGGAGGCAGTGGCTAAGTCTGAACATCTTTCTCACGCCACGCTCGGTCAACCGAGAGGCCTGGGAAGCCTGCTGCATGGCATTGTACCGAGGCCTAGGCTGATCCTGTCGTCCAGGGCGTGTGGAATCCATGGACTGGGGCAGTATTTCCAAAGGCCTCCTTCTCATACTGGAAATATAAATCAGCAAAAGATAACGAGTTCTACACTGAAAGGTGTTTAAGAGAATGTTTAAATGAAACAAGTTTTCCTCGTTGCAGCATTTTCTCAGGGAATTGATGAGTATTGGGATCCTCCAGACGCTGTTTTCGGAGACATTTGTTTTATAGATCACATTTGGGATTGAGTAAAGCCTTGGAAGCTGAGAGCGATCTCACTGCATAAACGATCTCTGCATTGACTAAACTGCCTTCAGAGTCTAAGTACTCTACTGCACTCTGAAGTAAACCTAAGACGGATGAAGGGCTGGAAACTTCTGCTCTGTGATGCACACTATTTGCTATTTGCTTTGTGTGTCTCCTCAAAGTTCATGTGTTCAAATCCTAACCCTAAAGTGACGATATTAGGAAGTGGGAGCTTTGGAAAGGTGACCAGGTCAGGAGGACAATCATGCATAAATGAGGTTAGTATCTTTAAAATAAGCCCAAGGGGAGACCAGCAGATGACCAAAGTTACGTCACTGGACTCCCACATGGTCAACGTGGCTCAAGTCCCAGACTGGGTGGCCTGAAATTGACAAAGGGTGCGTGCACATGTGTGCTCAAAATCCCAAGAGGAGAATGGAGGAGAAGGAATTGCAGCGTGGCCATCCTCCCTGGGGGGTGATTTCTTGCTTTCTGTCCCTCTGTTTCTCTGGGAAGTGCCTGAACTCTATAGCTAAAATCTCTCTCTCTCAAAGAAAAAAAAAAAAAAAAAACCCAAGGGAGCTTGTTCACCCTCCATCATGTGTGCACAGTGGGAGGTGTCGTTTCTGTGAGGTGGGACGAGGACCTTCATTAGATGTCAGACCTGCTGGCTCCCTGATGGTGCCCGTCCCAGCCTCCATACCTATGAGAAATAAATTGCTGTCGTTATAAACCACCTGGCTCGTGGGATTTTGTTGGAGACACGGAAACGAACGAGGAGAGTAGTGATGTAATCAACAGACTGAGTCATTCTGAGACGGTGAGACTGCATGACTACCCTGGTAAAAGACGAGAGTGAACAGAAGGAGACCAGCAATTGGCGTAATGGCTATGTCGCTGGACTCCCACATAGTCGACCGCGGTTTGAGTCCTGGACCCAGTGGCTTAAACTCACGCTGGGCACGTGTGCATGTGTGCCCAAGATCCCGAGAGGAGAATGGAGGAGAAGGGATTGCGGCGTGGCCATCCCCCCGGGGGGTGATTTCTCGCTTTCTCTCTGTCTCTCTCTGTCTTTCTGGCGAGCGCACGCGCTCTATAGCAAAAACCTCTCCAAAAAAAAAAAAAAAAAGAGTGAATGGAAGGTGAAAAGGCGGCAAAGGAAGCTGAACTTTAATAGATGTCATTTTAAGCAGAGCAAAAACGTTAGGCCTTTCATTCTTTCACAAAGCCTCCTTCTCTGTCTCCCATCTCCAAGTGCTCCTCTGTCTTCTCTGCGGTGAAATGCGTGTGTTAATGGGCGTGACGCAGCGTTGACCACTGGGCTCATGAACACACCTTGCTGAGCTCTGAGAGGCAAACACTAGAACATGTCTCTCTGGGAGAGAGGGCTGGGGAAGAGAACAGGTGTGGTGGAGTCTGGGGGAGGGCCACAGAGGAATGAGAAGGCCTTCCAGCACACAAAACGCCCTGAACGTCCCTGTCGGTTAGACACACTTCCTTGGCTCTGAGCTCTGGGGCACTTGCTGGTTCTGAGCAAGTGTGATCCTCACACCAAGGCAGCCTTTTTCCAGCTCAGACACACTGGGCCCTGGCCAACACAGAATGTTCCAGAAATGGTAAGTGACCTCAACACCGAATTCCTTTTGTTATTTATTTTTTTTAGGAAAGTGAGAAATCACCTCCCCAGGAGGGCTGGTCATGCCACAACCCCTTCTCCTCCATTCTCCTCCCAGGGTCTTGGGCATGCAACAAGCCCAGTGTGAGTTTCAAACCGCCAGGTCTGGGACTTGAACCGCGGTCGGCACGTGGGCATCCAGACGTAACTGCTATGCCATCTGCTGGCCCCATTGCACTGAGTTACTTTAAAAACGAGGACGCCATCATGCCACCTGTTCATACCTTGAGATACGTGCGGCCGCCAAGCCAACGTGCAGTTAGGTGGCCTCTCCTCGGGTAGAGAAGCCAGAGCCTTGCGATACGTGTGGTCACCAGGCTGACGTGTTTTTAGTTGGCCTCTCCTCAGGTAGAGAAGCCAGAGCCCGAGTGTGCGGGACCCACGGGCTGCCCTTCCACCCCACCAGGGTGAGCGGGGCCCTGGTCACGCACTCGCACTTACGATGGGGCTGCTGAAGGCGGTCTGT